CACCGGATAGTCCGACTCACCCTTACCAGCAGACGGAAACCCGCAGAAACACTCCCTAATTGCGACATGCGGTTTTTATTATCAAGAAAGTGAAAAGGTGTTATTTATGCTGACGAAAAATGTTTACGAAAGTTAGACCAGAGAAAGGAAAAGGTGGAAAGTATACTAACGAGAAGACAGTAAGCCTGTGACAGAAAAAAAAAGCAAAAGATGCACTTTATTTAATTTTGGTGCAAAGTCTCGTGATTAGAAAATTAATTATCATCATTACGACTCATTATAAACCAAATATGGGAAAATTGATCAACATTTGATCGAATAAGTTTCTTCCATAACCTCAGTCGACAACTAAAATATTACGTAAATTTGTTACCAAACCCGATAAATGTCCTTAGATTTTCGAAGTGGTTAATGTAATTGATGTTTATAATGACCATATTCTTAAATTTTTAAATAATAGATTTTTGAATAGGAACCTACTTCATCCTCTTGGGTTGCAGACAGAAATGGATGCTTTGATGATCATACTACTGCTGCAATGGCACGGTGCCAGGATGTCAAGGTGCCAGGTTGTCAGGGCCCCAGTATGACAAAACGCCAAGCTGGCCTAATTATTTTTTTTATATATACTAGCTAGAAATCCTTAAACAGCACAATATCCACGCTCGCCCTTGTGATATTTCTTAGATTACATTTCCTTCGAAATCCTCCCTTTTACACTTCGCGATAACTTCGCTTGTTTTAACTTTTTAATTTCGCATATGTAACATCGTTTATTATTTTTATTTTTAATTTCTGATTTTATTAATATTTTATAATTCAATTTTTATGTATTGTTTCTTAATTTGCGCAGTTTTAATGAAATAGAATTTAGTACTTTGCATTTATAGAGTTTAAAGTATTGATCAAGCGAAAGTGTAGAGCGCCGACGTTAGGCAACACTGATTAATTTATTAACATTAAATAAATATTTTGCCATTTTTAATCAATTAATACCTTCTGCTTACATTTAAAATTGTTTATAAATACATTAACGAAAGAAATGAATACAGCAGTATCGTATTATTTTATTTTGTAAGTGGAGTATTGGTCATGAATACCTAAATATATATTATAAATTAAACGGATTTGGGATTTGAAATATAGTATGACCCTTTGCACTGCACTCTATTTATCCAAAGTATATTACTAAATTCTTATAGCCAAGGATTTAAGATCATCATCATTAAAGGTTTACCATCTTTTGGAAAAGGATTCTATCTTTAATGCAATCCAGATTGATTGTGAAATATGTATGGAATTGATTCTGAAATGCTTAGTGTTTGATTACAGATACAAAAAACCATCTGAAATTATCTGAAAATTTCGTAAAAAAATAGTTGATAATTTTTTTGAAATTTGTCAAAAATGAGCACCGAATTATTTTGTAAAAATAGTAAAAAAAAAAAAAGCATAAAAAAATAAAGAAATCATTCAGTCGCTACGCCCAAAAGCGATCTAACTTGCCTAAAAAAAAAAAAATATCTTTAATTATAAATCTTTAACTAGCGATCTAACTCGAAAGAAATTACGTAAAAAAAAAAAAAAAAAAAAAAATATTAAATGAAAAAATGATGTTGGTCGAGGAGAAAAAATATCATCAATGAAAAAAATATTCAACCCAAAAAAAAAAAAAAATAATAATTAGAAAAAAAATAATAACGATAATACCTGAAATGATCGTCAAATGATCAGCGATACCACATTGTTTATAAATAACTTTTTTGGTTAAAATTCCATTTCTCAGGTAAACTCTTTCCCCTATTTTTTTTTCTTTTTTTTTTTCTTCATACAAAATGCCTCGTAACCTCCCTGCTGACTGCTTAAATGAAATTTTTGAATATTTGGAAGATGATGATTTACAGTCGTGCTTACTTGTAAGCCGATTTTGGTGTGAAACTTCTGTTCAAATTTTTTGGAGAGAAATTCAAAATTTTAATACTTTACTCATTTGTCTTCCTAATAATTCAAAAACTATTTTATCTGAGAATGGAGTTACAATTTCGGCCTCAGCTTCAAGACCCCCATTATTTCATTACACGGTGTTTATCAAGAGTCTTTGGATTGATGAAATTTGTCAATCAATTATAAGATTTATTCTTCCTATTTATCATCATATTAATATGGAAGACTTTGAAAAAAATCAACATTTTATCGTGATAGCACGAGAAATATTTAAAATGTTAATGAATCAAACCTCTCTTAAACATTTATGCTTTTTCACTCGTAAAAACTTAAACTTACCATGTTTCAACTATCCTGGAGAAGATGATTGTTTAAGAGATCTTACTGAATTGAAGTGTGGTTCAGATCTTTATCCTGATATTTTTTATAAACTATCTCAACTTTGTCACAATTTACGATCACTAAAGATAATTTTTGGAAATAGCGTCTCAAATGGATTATCAGAATTAGTTTCTGTTCAAAAACATATAAAGTGCTTGGAGTTGAACTTTTGTGATTTATGGGCAAATAAAAGTCAACCATTTACAAATTTTCCTAATACATTAACCAAGTTATGTATATCTCAAGGACGTTATCGTATACCATGGTCACTCATTTCGAAACTTTCGAATTTACAAGAACTTTCATTAGCATTATCTAACGAAATAGGTGGTTTAAAAGATTTTAAAAAACTTCAACATTCTGTCTTTCCGCAATTGCAGATTTTAAAATTTGAAAGTGGATGTCCAGATGGTGAATATCTAATTAAATTCTTGGAAAATAATGGAAAGAATTTAAATGATCTTATTCTTTGCAAAATTATTGATGGCACATTAAATTTGGATATAGGCAAATTTTGTCCAAATCTAAGGTCATTATGCACTGCATTTCCAGATGGAGACATAAAATCACTAAAAGTGATTTTTAATGCTTGTCAACAATTAGAAACCATGAAGATGATTTTTGGTGATTTCCTTGTAAATGAGCGTGAATTATTAGAGATTGTTGTAGAATTTTCACCTAAAAAGTTTTATAATTTATCAGTTTATTTGGGAGTTCTAGTATTTCCGGAAACAACATTTCAATGGGGATTAAGGTCTATCTTGGAACGCTGGGCGAACAGGAAACCATGTATTCCACTTTCTTTGTCTATTAAATCGAATTCAAAAATGGATATAAAACTGTCAAAAAGTAATATCAAAATAATTGAAGAGTTTAAAAAATTGGGCGCCATTAAAAAATTCAAAATTAAAATTTAAAATGTTGGATGGATATTATGGTTCAATAATAATTATATTGTGAAAAAGAGATTTTTTTTTATTTTTTTTTACAAATATTTCTACCTTTTGATTGTGCATCTGATTTGATAATTTGTAGATGTCGAGGCGGGGTGTTTTATTGTTAGAATTAACATTCATAGAGTCTTCTAGATGTTGAATTGTTCCTGTTATGTGTATGTTATTATTTTCGATAATAAAAAAAATAATAATAATATAGGATTGAATCGTTCTACCAAATTTGAATTAATCTACAATCGAATTTTAATCAAGTTGCGACTGAAATTGGGATATCTGAAATATATTGCGATAAAAAAATAAATTGCAAATAAAATCTGAATTTCAGATACAAGTTAAAAGTGAAATAAGTCGATAAATATTTTACTGGAGTTACTATCGGAGTTGAATACCTAGGTATACCTGTATCATCTGAAAATCGTGATAATTTATAACATTGAATTAATTTAACATTCAAACATATCGATATTATTATTTTGTTATTTTGGTAAATAATTTTTTTTAAAATTTCTATATATTTAGATGCTTTAGATGTTAAATATATATTATAGATTATTTAGAAGCTCAGGGCAATATTAAGTTGTGTAAATTTTTTATAGTGAAGGAAAATAAAAAATTATTACTAAGAAAGTTTATTTTATCATCACGGGCGTTAGTAAACCATGAATTATATAGTAATTTTATTTTAATGGTTTAGATTAAAATTTTAAATTTCATAAATTTTCGTTTGAATTCTTTTTTTTACGAATGTTTTTTTTCTTGTTTAGATTCTCATTTTTTAATTACTCATCTTTTATCAAATCTTTGTTGTATATTTAAAAAAGTTACAAAAATAAATCAATATTTTTTTTTTTACATATATATATATTATTATTTTTAATATTTTTATAAAGGAAAATGATAATTATATTAACAAGTTAAAAATTGATTTTTAATAATGTAATATTTTATTAAATTAAATTATATTTAAAATAAAAGCAAATTTAAAAGAATATCTTCTTAAATAATTGTTATAATTTAGAAACTTTCTAGAAAATATTTGATTAATCCGCAGTTAAAAAATATAGTTAAAGGTAAATTTTACTTTCAAATACTTATTTTTAATAATTTAGATTTAAGAATTTAATTTATTATTTACAAAAATAAGTAATTTATTTTAGTAATTAGAATTTTTATAAAAGAAATTAATAATAATTAAAATGAAGTCTTATTATTTTTTCTTTAATTGTTGCTGTTTCTTTTATAAATATTTAATCTTTTATCTATAAAAGTTAAGTAATTTTATTTAATAATTCTAATTCTATAAAAACATTTTACAATGTTTTCTTTTTATAATTTTATCTTTAATTGTTTAATATTTAAAAAAGCTGATTATTTTTTGTTTAAAAAAAAGATAAAAGCTTTATTTATTTATTTTTAAAAACTATTCTTTTTTATAGAATAATAAAATTTGAAGAATTATTTTTAAAATAAAAATTTTATTTTAGTTATTATAATTTTTATAAAAAAAAAATAACAATCAAAATTAAAAAATCTTAATTTAAAATGATAAATACAATTTTAAATATTTTTATGAAATAATTAATAATTTTTATTTATTTATTTATTTTTAAAAGTTATGGATTCTCATCTATAGTTTTTTTTTTTTTAGTAAATAATATAAAGTTACAAATTGTAATAAAAAAGATAAAAATAAATACAATAATTATATAATAAATATTTTTTAATATATAAAATAATTATTATTTCTATTTTTTTTTTTTTTTAAAAAAAAAAATAATTTCATTTTATCCTATCATTGCAATATATTTTTTTTACATTTTTTTTTAAAAAGAATTATTCAAAAAAATATTTCTATTATCAATACAGCATTTTTAAAAAATTATTTTATTGTTATAGCATTTTTATTTAAAATTTTTTTTTTACTATTATAAACTTATTTTAAAAATAATTTTATTTTTTCTTTATTCAATTATTATTTCTAGGTTTATACAGGTTTATTTTTTTTTTTTAAAAAAAAAAAAAAAAAAAATAATGATATGACAACCGCGAATTCATTGGAAAAATTATTTAGGGCCAAAGTTCGAAATATAAAATCAGAAATAAAATAAAAAAATTCATTCATATTTACCTCTCATTTTTTTTTTTTTAACGATTAAAAGTTAAAATTTTATTGCTGTTTTACTGCGACATTAATTCTTTTTAAATACTTGTTAAGTAATAATAAATATGAGATGGGCTAAATTAACTGAACTTATATCTTTTTTTTAATCATCTTTTAATTATAAAATAAGCAGCTAGCTTCTAAATTTTTTCCCTCCCCATACCTAAAATAGTGTTCAATTACAAACTTTTCTATTTTACTAAAACTTTGCGAAATATTGCCTGATCTACTGGTTCGATACCCGGAAGTTCATTTCTATATACAAGTATTACCCCCAGTGCATTGATAAGAAATTATTTTAAGAGGTCGTTCCATTAATGCATTGACTCTTAAGATCTGACTCCCAGCCTCCCTAAGCATGAATTCCTTGCTCGTTCGATAGATACTAAGGCCATGCAACTTCGATTCTTCGGTTCACGTCACCCGGCCGGGTCACTTTTTCAAATTTTAAAAAAAAAATAAGTTTATATAAAAAAGTTTGTCTGTGACTATAAGTGTAATTTTATTGGTATATTAAAGCTTTGTTGTATTATCGTTATGTTTAATTCCTTTCTTACAACTCATTAGTTTTTCATGTAGCTTCCCAAGCAACCAGTTAGGTGATAAATATAGAATCGATATATTTCCAAAAAATCTTTTAGTTTTGTTTTTTCTCAACAGGTAAATCTTCCCAATCCTTCAAAACTTTAGAATTGTAACTTATTTTTACATGTATAATAGGGTATTTTGACGGAGTTAAGATGAAATGTGATTGTCGTATGATTAGGCCGGGCAAAGAAAATTTTAGATAAAATTTTAATATTGACACGGCCACCCGGTTTTTTTTTTTTCTTTTCCATATGTAAATTTTTTTGATATGCCGATTTTATTATATCACAGGATAAAAATTTTACTATTAAAAAAAAAAAATCCTGGATTTTCGTAAACTGACACGGCCGGGTCACGGAATCTGAAAATTTACTTTGTATGGTCTTGTCCCCTTAAAGATTGAACAATCATATGGCATAATATTTATATACAAACTTTTTTTATTAATAAATTGCAAACCGAAAAAGCAAAGTTGCATGCCCTAAGATTCAAATCTAACATTTTTTTTTTCATTTTTTTTTGGCAGGTATTTCAACAGCAGATATTAGTATCTTAATGTTCATCTTTCATATCTAGGTGTATTGGCAGACACTTGTAATTTGGCAAATTATTATTTATGGGAAGTATCTTTTTTTTTATTTATGTTTCTTCTTGAGCGATGTATTATATGGGTACAGTATATAATTAATTCTTTCTTTAGTTTCTGTCTATCCGGTCGTGTCCCGCATCAATTGAATTTGTTTAATTATGAGGTTAGTAATGGGTTTTAGCTTTAAAAGGAGAAGCATTTTCTGGTGGTATCAAGCTAAAGAGCGAAGGTTTAGTGGAACTACCACAAAAATCAAAGTTGCTGACCGAGAGCGAAGGTTTAGTTCTTGGATACAGACGTTCCTAGGGTTTGCCTATCCATCTTCTTAGAAGTGTTTGCCTTATACGTGAAAGATTCCTTCGAGGAATTGGTCTCTTTTCGCACGCCTTTCGTTGAGGAAGCACAAAACCAATGTTGACAATAGTGATTTTTATTTAATTCGGTCCTTCATTTTCCAATCCTTTCCTCCAACTACTTCTTACCATTTATTATATTCTACAAATACAAAGTGAATTTATATCCACTCAACGTCCAAGAAAAACCTTCGAATAGTGATCAAAAAAATAAATTTTTTTATCATTATCCACAAAGCATTTTTAATACAAAAAGAAACGACCTAAACAACGGAAATGAAATCTTAAACTATCATTCGCTTTATCGTGAATACTTCCTTCGGGAAAAAGGAAGCCGAAAAGAAACTTTCAGCGAGAAACGTACTTTGACCGGAGCCATTAAAGAATATGTAAGATCTTAACCTTAGATAACATTACAATTAGATCTTTAATTTTGGTTAATAGTTCAAAACGGTTTCTAAAATATCTTTAACCGAAAATGTAGCATAAGATACGTTTTTTGCATCACAAAATAAATCCGCAGTTACCTTTATTATTTTCGATAATGATGTAATACCCACCGCATCGTTTCTAAACACTTTTATTTTTTACGTAAATATTTATAATTCACACATACAAAAAAGTTTCCAAAAATTGGGTAATTAAATGTAAGAATACAGAAAATAGATTTAATTTCTATAAAAATACATCAACGCGACTTATTTAAAAGCTTTAATATGTATGTATGACTTTTTTTCGCCTATTTCTTCTTGAAACAAAATGGTTACATTTTTGAGTCTGCTGACTACTTTATTAACCGAATTAACTAAAATCAGTTTAATTCTTGATCTTCGGAAGTTTGATATGAAAATTTTCATTATATTTCTCCATTAGGAAAAATAATGAAATTCGATAACCTGATTGGCTTATTCCATATACGACTTTTTTTTCGTTTTTTTTTTTTTCCTTGCATGGGAAAGAAATTTGAAGATAATTTATTATTTGAAAATTTAATATGATGAAATCAATCAAAATTCAAAAAAAAAAAGTTATATTTTATTTTATTAATTATTTAGAACCTTTTTGCGTTAATTTGTATTGTATTCGTTTTCAAATTATTGAAAATGAATTCTGTCGAACATAGTAAAGTTATTATGTATGTGTATGCCTATTCAGAAACAATTTGATCCTGAAGAGTTTCATTACGTACTAGTGTTCTTTATTGTCATTTGCTTCCTCCTACACTTACTTAATTAAAAAAAGAATTTAATCCAAAGCAAGTATTTTAGTTCAAAATGTCATTTAGAGAATGAAATCAATTCTTTTTTATACTAAAAAGGTAATCAACATTTTTTTTGGTTTTAAAAATCTTTCACTTATAAAAGAGCAACGATTTCAATCCTCTCTGATCATTATTCAAAAGATTAAGTTTCTTAATATCTTAATCAAAAGGAACAAAAATACAATTTACAATCACACACAAGCAAAATAAATCGAAATCATGAAACAATTTTTAGTTCTCTTGCTCATTTTATTGGTTACGCTTTCATCGGTCCATTCTATTCCCAATCATCTTCAAATAAGAAACACACCAAAGTTTGCGGAATGTAGAGGAAAATTTCCGGAAAAAATCAACGTAAAACTTTCACCATTACCTCTCGCTTTTGGTAAAACCCAGACCGTTACAGTCTCTGGAAAATTAAAGGAATTTATCTCTGATGGTACCACGTTACGCCTTGGAATTAGTAATGGTGATGGGGACGCGATCTTCAGCGAAAGTTCGGATTTTTGTGCTGTACCTGGAAGTCCGTGTCCCGCTGGTCCTGGTACTAAATTTAATACGCCGGTGAAATTTAATTTACGAAACAACGACACGCCTGGACCATTTAAGGTTTTGGTTCGTCTTGAAATTGGTGACGAAATTTTGGCCTGTTCCCGTGGTACCGTTGATGAATAAATTATCGGGATGGTTCTATCACATCATATTCTCGACAAATTTGATTATTTTTAGTTTCTTTTCATAAATTATTTTGTAACATTAATTTTAGAATAAATATTTTTTTTATTTTTGAGAAAAATTTATCATTTCATAATTTAATAAATTTGGTAACACGGATTATTAAAAAAACTGAACTGTAATGCATGAAAATTATATAATTATACTCTCAAAGCAAAATAAAGGTTTATTTTTTAGAAAAAAAAAAAAAGAAATTTAAAAGTACGAATAAATTATTGTGTGATCCAATAATGGCAAAGAATCTGTGAAAAAATTAATTGAAATTAATTAAACTTTTTGTGGAGGTTAGTCCGATCGAAATGAATTGATCTTTGGCTAATCAATAATTAATTGTTATGTAATTTACTACACACTTATGACATTTTGTAGGCGTCTTTCAATATTAATTTCTTGAGGGATAAATATTTTTTTAGATTTTAGAAATTTATATAATGCACATTCAAATTAAAATAAAAGGACACCACAATTTAAATTAATTTCATGATTTGATTTTTGAGTGGGGAGTTTAAAATCATTCAAATAAGTACTTTACACTGGAGATTAAAATTTCCAATTACAACCAAACAAACTAAACCAGTAACACTATATACAATCGCATTTTAAAATTTTCGTTTTGCTTGTCTTTTTTACTAAAATTATTTGTTACTTCTCTATTATCAACTTCATATAACCAGGTTATATTTACCTGCACACACGGCGTTTAACTGAACTGGCAGATATGTTTGAAGATTCTACCTCCATTCCGACCGAACTCAAAAGAAAGGATTAAAATTTTTATATTAAATTAATTTACTAATTGTTTCTTCCTTTTTCCATTACTTTTAAATTTTACCTTCTTATTCCAAAATATAAAAATCAAATTCTGCTCAATAGATAATACTAGAAAAAAGACCATTTAGCAGCGACATCCAGTTTGTTTTATAAAAAATGCCGAATTCCCCTTTTACCATTAGTTTTAAATTTGAAAATGTAAACCATTTATTAAAAAACGTAAATGTGAATGGGTAGAGTACTCTTTAAGATATTCATATACATTAATGGATTAGAATCGTTTATTATACTATCATAAAATCAGTAATCTTTATCACTATTATATATCGTCTTTATTAATAAACTCATATATATCATTGTTCAAAACCGCTTGTAACTGATGTATCAATAGTATTAAGCGTTGTCCTTTCGGATTTCTATATTTAGATTACACTTTCATTCCAAAAATAATATTTGTTATAAAACGATATCTATATCCATTTTTATTGAGTATGAACACCACCTGTTTCAGTTTTTAGAACTTCTCTACAATTTTTACAAGAAATTGTTTGATCCCATGGTAAATATAGAATTGGAACAAATAGGGAGGACGTCAGTAAAAAAGGGGGAGATCTGATTAATTTTAGTTCCTAAGCTTATTTTATGCACTGTATAACGTCTAATCTTGATTTACTGTTTTTAGAATCTAAATATCGAATTATTGATTTCGCCTAAACATACGGAAGGTTTGCTATTAAAATCTACGTTACAGATCATACGATTAACTTTGTTCGTAACTTTAATTTTAATAACTGATTTCCACTGCGTGTAAAAAAAAATGTCACGAAATTTCACATAATATAATTAGTCACCGGTGTCACTTCCCTTCGCGTTTCATTTTTACTAAGTATTATAATAAAGAAATAGTTCACGTGGTTGATAATTCAGTCAATAACCTTACATTATAATTTATGTGAATTGTGTACTTTTTTAAAATAAAATCAGCATATATTAACAAAATTTTTAAAAAATACTAATGTTTTGGTCGAAACCATGTTTTTAAAATCAGAAACTTTCGTAGGAACTTAATTTGGAGATCAAATTGAGCGAAACTTGTTAAGTTTTAAAATTTAGCAAAGATATCAATCAAGATTTAAATTTTCAAAAGTTAAATTCTGACACCTTCCAGATGTGCATACCTTTAATATAAGTAACGATTATCACCCATCTAAAAGTGTGTTTTCTTCGGTGTCGTTAATTATGTCATTTACTTCCCCTACCTGCATAAACAATTTGTTCTTTAAACAAAGAAAATAATTCTAAAAAACTGAAAGAATTTCTTAAAAATCCCAAATTGCCTATTTAAGTATAATTCTAAAATTTTAATTTGGAATTTCACAGATATTCAATGCAACACTTAAGAATTCCAATTTTGACCAGAATCGGAAATGGTTTTCTAAGATAAAAAATTATAAAATGTTATAAATTATTCAAATTCCATATTTCAAATTCTATTAATCTAACAAAATGGAAATAACAATTACAAAAAATGAAAGTTCTTTTGACATAACTTCAAAATTAAAATCCAGTCCTATACCTATTACGTTTATTTCTTCTAAAAGTGATAAATGTCATTGTGGGAATGTAAACTCTTATACATGTATATTTAGTCAACATTATTGTAAAAGATGCTTTTCCAAGCATATTGGTAGTGTTGATAAAAATAATACGTATTTGGATGTGCTTATAGTTACAAATAATACACTATGTAATAAACATGAAAGCTAGGAGTGTAAATTTTTGCACAAAAAACATTCATGAATGGTGTGAATTTTGCTCCGAAATTTTTTATTTCAAACAAGTATATCGTAGAAATAGTACCGGTTATTTATCAACACGGCATATTAGAAAATAATAAGGATTGTAAATTATGTGAAAATCAGTTTATCAAACGAAACCAAATTTTGTAGTTTTCTTGTTATGTTCAGATTGTTATAAAATTTCCACCGGATGGGTAGAATCAATTTTGACCAAAATGATTATTCCAATTATATATTTACCAAACTGATAATTGTATTAATTGTGAAAATTGTCTAAAAACTGAAACGGATTGTCTCAAATGGTTTTCCATTTGCTCAATAACTTATAATGGATGTAGATATTGTTTGACAACAAATATTATTTTGGGAATTACAGATCAATCTAAATATAGAAAATTTGAAAGAAAAACGACTTTAACTTTTGATACATCACTTACATCACAAAGCAGTGGGAACAGTCATATAGATGAGTTTATTCATAATGCAAAATTTAATATTCAGCATATAAAAAGTTTTGTGAATAATTCATATCCATTAAAAATATGGAGTAATTCCTTACATTGCACCGGAAATATTTAATGGCGCTCCATTTTCAAAAAAATCTGATATTTACGGTGTGAGGTATGATTATGTGGGAACTTACTACAGGTTGTAAACCATTTTATAATATCGAACATGATCATAGACTTATTTATGAAATTATTGACGGAAAACGTCCTGAAATCACAATTGATACTCCTGAATGTTATGCTGATTTAATGAAAAGTTGTTGGGACTCTAATCCTTCAAATAGATCTTCTATAAAAAAAATACGTAAAACTGTTGGTGGTTGGAGTAATAGAAAAAACAATGAGAAAATATTTGTTCAGGCCGAAGAAAAACGAGAGGAATTAATGAGATTGAAGAAACTTGGTCCTGAATTTACTGAAAAACATCCAAAAGCAATCTATACAAGTAGGGCA